TCGTTGGATCCTGTGCTTCGATTGTTTCCTGTCCAGTGCCCGTTGCACCTGGAAAAGAAAACAAGAATGCTGAGAACCTTGTCAAGAAAAATGTACCAAATAAGCGTTTTTTACCAAAAAAATGACATGCATCTACTATACAGTAAAATAATGTAAAGTTCAAAATATCGGGAAAAAATATATACATCTTATATAATTTTATGTACGGTTATAGGAAAAATATCATTTACTTGTGTTAAATGACGCAACATAAAAAAATTGATGTGTCACTCAGTTATGTGAGATAGGTGTGAAGGTATTCTGGGAATCTAACGTGACGTCCAGAACGCGTTTTTTTAGAGTGATCGACCGAAGGTTCGGTGGCTTTCGCCGTGCTAGGGAGTTCTTCAAAGACTGAAGTAGATTCAATTACTTGTGAATTATCGGGTACGTTTAGCTCCAGGCTAATGGGATTACCTTCCAAGTAAGCTGGTTTCAGACGGTCGATACTGACGGTGTCTTCGCGGCCTTTTTTGTCTAAAACGAAGAATTTATCAGTACGTTTAATCACTTTATATGGTCCGTCATATGGGGGTTCTAGAGGACGACGTACCGAGTCGCGACGAACAAATACATGTGAAGAAGTTTTTAAACAAGGGTGAACGAAAACATCAATGGACTGTGGTCGGAGGGGAGCAGGTTTAACTGAACGCATAGCGTTTGTAAGCCTGCTGACGTATGAGGAGTGATCTACCACTGGTGGGAAGCTCGAGGGAGAAACAAACTCACCTGGCAGTCGTAGTGTTGTGCCATATACTAGCTCAGAGGTAGTACAACCAGCATCGGTTTTTAAGGCGTTTCGTATCCCTAGGAGAACTAACGGAAGGGATTCAGTCCAATGGGTGTAATTTGCAGCTGATAAACCAGCTTTCAACTGCCTGTGTAGACGTTCTACCATACCATTCGCTTGAGGATGGTAGGCTGTTGTTCGAAAACGCATGCAACCAAGGATTTTAGTCAAAGCGAAGAATAAACCGCTTTCGAATTGCCGCCCACGATCAGTTGTTATGGAAGATGGGCATCCAAAGTTTGCGATCCATCTCTCTACAAAGACGCGTGCGACAGTTTCAGCAGATATATCTTTGATGGGTACTGCTTCAGGCCATCGTGTGAAGCCATCGATGCAGGTTAACATATAGGTGTATCCATGAGATTCTGGAAGGGGGCCAACTAAATCTATATGGACGTGTTCGAAACGGGCATCAGGGATAAGAAAAGTACCAAGGGGGCTTTTAGTGTGTCTTCTTACTTTGCACTTTTGGCAAGCTAAGCACGTCTGCGCCCATTCCCCTACTTCTTTGTTAATACCAGGCCAACAAAACCGACTAGTTACAAGCTTGACAGTAGTTCGAATACCTGGATGGGATAAGCCATGCAACGTATTGAAGGCGTTACGGCGATAACTTTTAGGCACGATGGGGCGAGGAGTACTAGTGGAAATGTCACACAGAATAGTATCCTTTCCTATACCCAAGGGTTTCTTGGCTAGTTGTAGAGTTGTTTTCGACAACTCACGCTGAAGTTCAATATCTTCTTTTTGAAGACGAGCCAGTTTTACAAGGTCTATGACGTCGATTTCGGTGAAAGAACAAATACGTGACAAGGCATCTGCCACAGTGTTGTTCACTCCGGAAACATGGCGAATATCTGATGTAAACTGTGAAACGTAATCTAGTTGTCGCGACTCCCTGGGTGAATACTTATCTGAAGTTGAGTTCAGAGAGTACGTCAGAGGTTTGTGGTCAGTGAAAATGATGAATTCACGACCCTCAACTGAATGTCGAAAATGACGTAGAGCACAGTACATAGCTAGAAGTTCTCTCCCGAATGTGCTGTACTTCGTTTCAGCTACTTGAAGGCGCCTCGAGAAAAAGGCGAGTGGTTGCCATTCGTTGTTAACTAGTTGTTGCAGAACTGCGCCGATTGCAGTGTCTGATGCATCAACCGAGATACTCAACGGTGCCGTTGGATCCTGATACATAAGGAGGGTGGCATCTGCAATAGCTTTCTTTACCTGAGTAAAAGCATGTCGAGCAGACGTGTCGAGTTCGATAGCCTTGTTGTTCCCTCGAAGGAGATCGGTTAATGGCTGAATTAGAGAAGCACAATTAGGAATAAAACGTCGGTAATAACTTACCAAGCCGTTAAAAGTGCGAAGGCATTTTACTGTCTTTGGCTCCGGAAAGTTCAGTATTGCTTCGACTTTAGTAGCCAGTGGGCGTATGCCCTGGCAGTCAATAGTGTGACCCAGAAAATCGAGTGGGTCAACGCCTATCTGACACTTCTGTATATTGATGGTAACACCATGTTGGCGTAACCTTTCAAATGCCAAGTCCAAGTTTCTAAACTGAGTTTCCTTATCTGGACTGGCAATGAGGCAGTCGTCTAAGTATGCGTATACAAAGTCGAGACCGCGAAATACTTCGTTGATGAAGCGTTGGAATGTTTGGGCCGCATTCCGGAGGCCGAATGGCATACGTAGGAATTCAAAAAGTCCGAGAGGCGTGATGATAGCCGTTTTCGGAATATCTTCCGTTGCCATCGGGATTTGGTTATAAGCTTTAACCAAGTCGATTTTGGAGAATATAGATGCTCCAGATAACGTTGCCGTCAAGTCGTGTATGTGAGGCAATGGGTAGCAATCGGGGGTAGTTTTGGCGTTCACTCGCCGGTAATCACCAGTGGGTCGCCAATCGTTGCTATCCTTTTTCGGTACCATATGCAACGGGGATGCCCATGGACTATTCGATGGTCGAATGATGCCAAGGGTGAGCATATGATCGAATTCGTTTCTGGCAATTCTCAGTTTATCAGGGGCCAGTCGTCGTGCTTTAGATGTCACGGGCTGTCCTGAGGTTATGATGTGGTGCATAACATTGCTGGTTATACACGGGAGGTCGTTAGATGGGCAATTCAGTTCCGGATATTTATCAACAATCGGTTGAAAAGTTGGATCGAGGATTGCTTTCATCTTAACGATTGACAAGCTGGGGCCTACGTAAGTTATGCCTTTGATAGACAAACTAGTAGTGTTGTCAATTAGTCGTTTACGGCGGACGTCTACGAGCAAATCATGATGATTAAGTAGGTCCGTGCCAATGATGGGCATTGTGACGTCAGCGATTAGGAAAATCCACTGAATAGGTTTGCGTAAACCTACGTTCAGATAGACGTATTTCCGACCATAGGTTGCAATTGGTTTTCCATTTGCAGCCTGTAGGTTGAAGTTAGGATCCTTCTGTCGATCTGCTGCTGTAGCAGGAAGGACGCTGACTTCGGCGCCTGTGTCGACTAGATATCTAGTCTGGCTCATTACATCATGGATGTAAAGTAAGCGGCTAGTGCCACCGGCGACGGTTGCCGCTAACGCGTGCCGGCGGGATAGTTTCCCACAGACTTGGAGGCTTTGCCGAAATCACAAGGTTTTCGACAACATTTCGCTTCCTTGCCATAGGTGTTGTGATACCAACACCAGTCAGGATTTTTGACAGAACGTGTGTTGGACTTAGATCGTCCACGTGCGTTTTGCCGTTGAGGGGATCTAGAACGACGGTTTGAGGAATTGCTAGGCTTGTTTGACCTAAGCATCTGCTGGACGGAGTTGCATAACTCTATCATTGCAGAATCCTTCTTCGAAGTCTGTTCGGTAACAGAGTATACTTCGGTAACTGGCCGTTTCGTTATCTCTAGAATTCTATCTGCAGAGACAGCTAAGTCATCTATGAGAACACCCTGAAGTGTCACAAGTACAGTCTGAACTGACTGTGGCAGTTTGGATAAAAATAGTTCTCTAAACAGTCCTTCATCGAACTGACTTTGGCCAATGATCTCTTTCATTCTTGCCAGCATGCTCACGGCTGACTGATCTCCTAACTCGATGTTACGAAATAACTCATCCAGACGTTGTCGATCTGTGAGAACGTTTCTCTTTAGGATGCATGCTTTTAGCAACTCGTACGAGTTACTTACCGACATCTGCAGAGTTGCGCACTTGCTGAATTCCCGCGGTAGGGCGTGAATAACTGCAAGGAACTGTGAACGTTGATCAGTTATGCCATGTTCACAAAAATCGGACTCAGCAATCTGAAACCACGCTTCAGCATTATCTGGCCAATATGGTACTAGCTGGATTGTTTTGGCGGTTGAGTGAATCTGAATAACCTTGGGGCTAGGATCACTCATGACGAAAAGTATGCCGATAACAATATAGTACAAGAATAAACACAAAAAGGAACGAACTCACCGGGTTTATCTGCGTGTGAATTGAAGATGAAGTTCGAGGTTGGGCTCACCAGTTTACGGGTTGACGGTATCGACGTTCGCGAGTTGTACGGATTATACTAACGCAAGATCTTATACCAACAACCACTATAGTGTTCGTTCTTCGAGTACCAAATGGTAAAGCAAAAGACCAGATTTTGTCGTCCAAATACGATATATATTTTGGGACCAAATCGCGGGTAGGAATGAATGCTTAGCTAGCTAGTAATCGTGCACGCACGTGACACGACGAAGCACCAAATGGCGGGGATGCTTGACCGTAAGCCTTCAGCTAAACAAGTCGACTTAAACAGTGATGGTCAGCATCCAATGTTGAGTGATGATTGCTGTGGTTAATAATTTTGGGGAATTATTTACCGCTACAGAGTCTATCATGTTAACCAGCTCAGTCCATTTTTTTCAGCAGGCTGCGAGCGTTTGTGTAGCAAACTGTCAATTCGACTGACTTTAAATATCACGTTCTAGAACAGCTGTTAAAATTTCACTCGCAAATTTTTTTGTCAATAATTTTTAACAAAATTTTGTTATATGTTATCTGGATTGATGGGAATTCCCATTTTCTGGCCAGTTTAATTGCAGTCTGGTGCTTCCCCAGTTGTGGCGCAATAACGGGTGACCTTGAACAACGCGGACTTTCCCACCAAATACGGTGTTAGCTGCTGTTGATCTTGTGTGGACGGATGACAGGTACGTGTATGGGCTTGGCCAAGGAATATTACATTACGCAATCATTTTGAATGATTTTTTGTGAATACCGCTTGTCAAATGGTTGTACGCAATGCAATATCGTTTTTACGAGCTAGTATAAACCAATTTGATTTCTTTGTGCTCGCCTCTTGATTGTGAGGTATAGGTTCCTGATCTTCGGTAAACGTCTGCGTAGCTCGTCCCGCCACTTGACTGTCGTAGCTTTGGTTGACTCCAAAAGGAGTATTGCTGGGATTAATTATATGTGGTTTGTAAAGACTGTTACTACTGTGAATGGAGTTGATCCTTTCACCAGTTAGTCCTCCGGTATCGTCGTCAAAAGAAAAGAGATAATAATAATGAAAGATATAATTAGTGAAGTTATTCAGACTAACAGACAGAAAATGAATAAGAAAACGTAACAACTATTCTTAAGTTAACTTATGAATGGTTAATTCGGCACCAGTAGGTCCAGTCTGATCAGCTAGAATCTGTTCTTTAGAAATCAACTTCAATCTACTTGACTTTTGTTCCACATTACTGAGTCTTGAGAAAGTTAACATGAACTTATCCGATAGGAAATAATGTGAATCCTTTAATTTCTGCATACCTTCGTAAAATTGGTTATATCTTTGGCTGTTAGTTTTAATGTAATAGCTAAAATAAGCGTGATTTTACTTCTGTTTACTGTTCTGATTTTATCATTTGTACAGTAATGTAAGCGCACCGTAGTATGAGAAATTACATGTATCTTCACTCTTCACGTTTCTAGTGAAATGATATTATAAGAAAAGGCACAAACAGCGAAGAAAATTTTCTTTTCGACGATTCATTTTCATGAGCTGTACAATCGTAATTATAATTAACAAAGAAATCTTTAGACCAATCAGATACTGGTAAATTTTGTCCTTGGAAAATTGTATTACATAATGTAAGGTGTAAGAAGGGATGACTAATTGTAAGTTAGAAAGGAGACAGAAGTTGGCATGACGTAATAAGTGTGAGATAGTGAATAATCAATAATCTCGTGTAAAATGGACAGAAACTAGTGGAAAGGCTAATAAAGTGTTTTTGTATAAAATATGTATGGAAAACAATGTTATTAATAAACAGTAATAGAGTGGTAATAAAATGTGGATGATGGGGACAAAATGATAATAAAAGTATTAATAAAATAAAATAATAATGGTAATAATAGTGAACTTACATAATAAAGGAAAGAAGCAAAAATGATATTTTTGACTAATGACTTCTCATTGACATTTGCTTAGTGCGACTGAATGTTCAAAATTAATTAGGTCCCAAATGATGTCTAAAATTTAGCGGGTTTGATAAGTAGTAATCTCCATTTGGGAGAAATATGTAGCAGTTCGCAATGCCACGAAGTTATCGTAAGAGTGCATCTGTTTACACTGATCATGCTAATCAGTTATCGGTCAAAAATTAAGTGGTAATGTTAGAATAAAATTGTCTGTACTTCGGATATATTTTGTGAGACTTCCATCGTCTTATGGACTTAGAATATGCAGATGACATAGTCCTGTTAGGGGAGGATGCTGACAAAACCCAGCAGAGTCTTTTGAACACCTTGAGCAGCAATCTTCGTATGTTTGGAATGCGATTCGCCCCTGTAAAATGTAAGATGCTGCTACAGGATTGGACTACGTCAACTCCTAGCTTAGTAGTGATAGGGAGTGAAGTGACAGAACACCATGTTGACCACTTCACCTATTTGGGAAGTTGTATCAGCACCAACGGATTGATTGGTGACGAAATCTCAGCACGGATCCGATCCAAAAAGCTCGGGCTGCTTTCGCTAACTTACACCGTCTCTGGCGTAGGCGTGACATCCGGCTATCAACCACCCAAGGGAAGTGTGTACTGCTCAGCAGTTCGCTCCATTCTTCTCTATGGCTGGCTCTGAAACATGGCCAATACCAGTTGAAGGCATGAGAAGGTTGACTGTTTTTGATCATAGATGTTTACGATCTCTTTCTCATGTTAGGTGGCATAATAAGTAATGTCGACGTTAGGTTAGGCGTAGAGTGTTGGGCAAAGAGGGAAAATCAATCAATCGACGAGGCTATAAAGTTACATAGATTGAGATGGCTAGGTGACGTGCTGCGCATGCCTAACCATCGCCTCTCCCTCCCGACGGGCATTACTAGCTGATATAGGTAGGTGCAGGTTGGAAAAGAGTAAGTGGTGCGATGCCAAACAAAAACATGGCCTCATCAATCCATGAAATCCTTGACAGTTAAACTGAGTCAGGTAGGGAGGGAGATGCAGACTTCCGGGTTGGGACCCGCTCTCGGGACTCTAAGAATCAATGGCTGGAGAGAGACAATAGGTGACATACATGGCTCAAAATCGTTGTCAATGGCTTACGCAGATGTATTCAGTCTCTTGTGTAATCTTTCATATTCCTTTCTACCATTACTCATTCGTTCTGTTTCACTCTTATACTTGTCAAAACTCTATTGATTGATTCTCTTCACTCATCCATCTTCTTGTCTACCTTTGTGTGGTATTTGGAAGGTGGCAACTCGAATTGCTGCACTTTGGTGCCAAGTTCTATGTGGAATCCAGCCAGCCAGCCATTTTGTGAGAATAAAGGACGATAGATATGTATTTAGGGGACGATTCATCATACGTGCTTGAATGTGCACATGTCAGTAGTACTAGATTTGTCAGGGGCTGATAGTTTTTAAAGCTTTCTGAGAATAGAATTTAAAGTGAATTTTACATCTTAAAAGATAGAAGATACATTGTAAACATCGTCACTTTTGAATTTTCTGGAAATCCAACTGCTCTGAGAAGCTAAAAGATGAGGAGAAATAGTGATGCTTATAATAACACAAAGTAATTGGAACAATGCCAATCTAATGTGGACGTAGAAAGGTAGAACAATAGCCCACATATTATAATAATAATCCCTTTATTCTAAACATTAATAAATATGGAGAAAAATCCTCATTCAAACATTTAGCGCTGCATATATTGCAATAGTTTATCTTTTGCAAATAAATAAATACATAAAATAGTTTTTACGAGTTAATCACGAATTGATATCAGTTAGAGAACCATTGAAAACCAGTTGGAAGTACTGGACAGCTGTTTCATCCTAGTTTGGGAATCATCGGCAGTACGCACCAGTGAGGTCCATCCTGATGTAACATCTGAGGATGGATGTCCCACCTACGACAATGGTTGGGGTCGTGCTAAATCACGAATTGGTAGAAGTTAGAATTCATGGGCTGGTTGGACATTAAATCGGGTGGGTCCCAGTGAGTGGCTGAATGGTATACGAGCCAGCTAACTGGCCTTGTAACCGGAAGGTCCTGGTGGTGGGTGCGTACTGACAATGATTCCCAAACTAGTGTGATGAAACAGCTGTTCAGTACTCCCTGGTTTTCAATGGTTCTCTAACTGATATCAATCCGTGATCAACTCGTAAAAACAAAACTAACCCTTACAAAACAAACTATAGAAAACATAAAATAGTGAAAATAATAAAACTTCTAAAACTGAAGCTGACAGAAAAATAATATGTGCAATAGTAATATCGGTTATATCTTGCCGTTTATGTATAATATATGAAACAGTTTTTAACAACTTTTGTTTTTTCCTTCATGCACCATCCGGTCTAATATAGTATGGCTGAAGCAAATTACACGCCACTTTCATCGATCATTTTATCCCCAATATATTTTTGGGCGTCATTTAAATGTGGATGTACTCTGAGATTTATGATAACTTTGCGTTTAAAGCTCCCCTGACCGATACCTGCTACCTTGACATGGTGGTGGTCGGGCTTGTACATCGCGATGACCCAACAAGCTACACTGGCTGGAACCAATGTTCCTGCAGGTCCTACCATGCCAGGAAGGTTGTTAGGATAGCGATTACACTAAAAGCAGTTACCGGCATAGTGTAAGAATCCTTCCTACACTATGCTATGCTGGAGGTCTGTGGGCGAAGTCGTACTGCTGGGGAGCAGGGGTGTAACAGCTGTGAGGTGTTTCCCTCAGATGACCAGCGTGCCAGTCAGCTATGCTGTCTCTGCACTCTGGAGACGAGGAGGGGGTTAGAAAAGTTCGACCCCAAAATTTGTACATCCCGACTTACCCTACGGTGATCTTTAACCGGCGGTAAGTTTACTAATACGGAACCTAACCAAGAAACCAGTTCATACAGGCCGTGTGTGACCAGCTGGCCGGCGTCAAACAGTTGTGTCCCCTGGCCTCTGCAGTCACGCAACACTAACCCTCTCTCTCTTTCAGGTACCCGAAGAATCAGGCAACTTCTATGGTGTGGGCAGTCGGGAAGTAACAACCTCCCACACACTTCCAAAAGCACTTCCACGTTTAAAGCTCTGAGTTACGTGATCTTGTTGGTGCTGAGGACCAGTGATTAAAGACTTAGTTGCATGACCCCAAATCGTTCACTGGATTGCTTATATACTTACAATTTTACCGTATTCACCGATTTTCATTGAATCACTTCTCGTATGTTCATCAGTTGCCTTATCATTCTGCCTCGACTTTTCTGTGGTCTTAGAATGTGACATCTCGAACTGATACACTTCTAGGAAAATATTTCTCGCCTCATCTGTGCTTCAGTTAGTAAAAATCCTTCCGTTATTTATTGTTGCTTCTAGATGTCTCTTCCAGAAGCTATAGGGCTTAGATTAACTTTTAATTCAAGACTGAAAAGGGAAGGTTACATAACAAACGTGTGTCTTTCCTCGAGTCTAATTAGTGCTCATTGTTGCCTCCAATACTAAGTGCTGCAGCCAACCGGATTCCTCAGCTTTGATATTTCTAAACGTGTGGTCTTAAATACGGCTCTTAGAATACGAGAAGCTTGTTGAAATTTCCTTGTTTTGTCGGATTGCTTTGTACAGAATAAGACCTGACTTCAGGGACAAGTTAGTTTCCCCAAAAAAATATGAACACTACTCCTTAGTAAGTCAAGTCATCATGTCTATATTTAGCTTA